CCCCCCTCCGGCGGCACCTGGTCGTCTTCCCAGGACTATAAATGTAGCTCCCAGAAGCTCGAAGGTAGTCGGACCTTACATCATGGTATAGTGCAAAGGATGCGGAGCAATTGGGAGCAAATAAAAACGACAACGTCTAGTCCGTGATCGACCTGCACAGAGAAATTTTATGTGCACAGCGTAAGGCCTAATGTGCATGCATAGCTCACGATACTTTTTAGGAACGTATAAAATTTTTGTACGGAAGTATTGCATGCCCACAATCGACATACTTAGGCTACCAGGTGTGTCATAAAAGACACAGGTGCGGGCGGGTTTGCCTACCCGCTCTGCCTGGAAGGCGCCATAGCTCCTTGGGTAGGCCAACCCGCCGGCACCTGGGTTTTTTATGAAACACCCTGTACAGTAGCTTTGTAAAAAATAGTAGATAAGATGTTATCGTGTGCGCGTGAATGGCGCGCGCTCCCTGCTCAGAACGTTTACATGACGCTAGCCTCCCCCGGGGCCCGGGGCCCGGGCCGGCTGCACAGCAGAGGGTGTCAATAGCAAAAGGCCCGGCGGTTCTGATTGGCGGCGCTGTAAGCTCCCCGGCCCGGCCTGCAGTGCTGGGAACCAGGCCGGTCAAAGTGGCCTCTTCCGGCGGCGTTCGAATAGAGGAGGCGCGTGCTCTGCTACGACGAATGCGGTACGAGCAGGTCGCATTCACTTCCGGTGTGTCCCGCGGCGAGGCCAGCGCCCTTCGGAGCACCGCGCTTATTGCGTTTCATCGGTTCAAAGTACCTACCTGGTGCGTCTACCACAAAAGTGAAAAGTGGCATTTTGGACATCATTTCAATAATGAAGAAGATGCCAAACACGAACTGCTACACTACTAATACAGGGTGCACGACACCTTTCTCGCACATGGTCAGAGAAAGGATAAATAAGTTGAAAGCTACTGGGCAGACTAACTACATTCCAAGAGAGTACTACTGTAGTGGATGAGAAGGTCACATTGCTGCCACATCGCTTTTAAGACACTGTCATTACATTTCGGTCGGTTAATTGCTAAAGTCTCAAATACCAGGCGAAAGTTTTGCCGTGAGATTTCGTTTTTATTAGTTGTTTTTGTGTTTTAAATGTTCTTTTCTCTCCGCTACAGACATCTGTGGTGCCGTTGCCCTAATGGCACACCATACAGTACGCCTACCGGACTTGAGAGTATTTCCTCCGTGCCCTGCACCGGGAAGGCTGGCTGTACGTTCTCTCGCCCTCCCAGCCGTAAGCGCCGTCGGCGGCGTCCGCAAGGTGCTGGCGCCCCTACAAGACAGGACATCGATAGGGGTTTGTTTCCTGGTGTCGTCGCACCACCAGATTGCGAGCCATTGCCGCTGCCACGCGCGCGAGCAGTACCGCTGACGCCCACATTCCTTCACGACTACTTTTGTCTCTACCTGGTCGCTGCTGTGCGCCGAGCCGAGCGCGTTGTGCCAGCCGTCGCTCACCAGCCCGCCCAAGCCGGCACCCATGACTGGGCAACAGCAGGGTACCGCGGGGGCCACCACCCCACCCCCTCCACCCCTTCTCTCTCCTGCCCCACCAACACGTCCCGTCAAAATAACAAAGTGCCACCCGCGCGCGACAACTAACCTATCAATGTGCCATTAAGATCCGGCCGTCCAGATAGACATAGTGTGACAGTGTCTGCCCAGCAGGGATTTTGTGGAAGGGGGACGTTGCGTGGGTTGCGGGAGGTGGCGAAGGGGAAGGTCAAAACGTCGGGGTGCGTGGCCGGCCGGCACAGACGGCAATATCAAATGGAAAGGGCTATAACGAGGCTGTAACCTAGAGCCCCGCAACGAGCGAGCTACGCGAGCTAAATGCCTACCCCGACCCCGACCCCCTCTCACCCGCCGAAGAAGGGGTCTGGCTCGCGAGCGAGCTACGCGAGCCAGATCCCTTCTTCGGCGGGTGAGAGGGGGGTCGGGGTAGGCATTTAGCTCGCGTAGCTCGCTCGTTGCGGGGCTCTACTGTAACCTGACTGCATCCAGGGTCCGCCGCGCCCGGTGGGACCTTTGAGGTACCTGCGCTCCACCTGCACGGCGCGCAGGATGTCCAGGAGCGTGGGGCCGGCCCTCTTGGAAGGCATGACGGCCGACGACGACGCCCCTCAGGGCGACCAGCTCCAGCGCGCGCGCGCGCGCAGTGAGCCGTGATCAAGAGCGCGCCCGCGTCCCCCCGCGTAGGCAACCCATCCGACACTGCGCGGCCGCAGCAGCGGCGGACGTGCCGAGTCAAGTGGGGCGGGGCGGGGAGGGGCGGGGTGTTTACCTGTCACCGACTGTAATGAGGGCGGGGCATCCAGACACCAGTCGCTCTGCCACCCTCCCCGCTCCACCCCGCTCCACCCCTACCCACACCAACCCTACCCATCCCTATTCATCCCTACCCGCACCTACCCCTACCCGCACCTACCCCTACCCACACCTACCCTTACCCACACCTACCCTTACCCACACCTCCCACACCCACCCCTCCGACCCCCAAGCTCTAAACCCCAAACGGCGGTCGTAAATGTCGCAGACACTGGCCCTTTACTACCGCGAGGCTAGGGGACACCCGTCTGCATCGAAGCCACCAATAATAATAAACACTGACCAGCATATAACCCCGCACCCATCAAATGGATGATGTAAGTTAAAACACACACACACACACACACACACACACACACACACACACACACACACACACACACAAGGATGGCCCGGACGGACGCGGTTCTCGGTTTTCTGTGTCCATCCCACAAAAAAATCTCAATCAAGAATCGATCTTGAAAGCAGATGATACAAATTTATGAATAGGGCTATGTTCCCATTTTCTCTCATCAGCTGCTATTTGTTTGGTTGCTTGCAATTCGGCGGTCTAGTGGCGTACAGGAGGACATTTGGGAAGGGCAGGGCGGCTGGCGGCCTAGTTGTATTGTTGGGCAGGGAAGGGGCCCATCCCGCGCAGTATTGTTAGCGCGACACTCACCCGGACACCATTCCGCAGCGCTCAAAAAGATAATTCTGGTTTTGCTCTTAGTTCTCTTTCCTGCTTATCGAGAGTTAAAGCTAGCTGACACCTTAAAGTTACTTATGTATTCTTTATATTTAGTGAAAGTATTTAAGGTATCATCTGCTAAAAAATGTACGGTAGCGCGAACGAGACATAAGAAAAAGTAGCAATATGCTGAGTGGCCGCGGGGCCGCAGCACCCTGCCCTACACTTCAAGGGTACCATCAATCTTTTCCCCGAGCGCTTACCCCGGCCAGCCGTCCACCACCACCACGGCGCCCACCACCAAACTACGCCTCCACAAACCCACATCGTGCTCTCTAATTTGTCCCTTGGTGCCACAATGTCACAAACAACAGCTACAAACAAAGAAAACAGTGCGCATATTCCGCGTTCCCCGCGATGCAAAAACAGATATAAACGGCCACTTATGAATGGCCAGCACGTCTTCCGTGCTGCTAGCCATCGCGCGCACATTAGATGATGAGGAGGCAGGGCAGGGCAAGGGGTGTCAATTGAATACAGCCTGCTCGTCCTAGAGTGTTGCGCAGTGCCCAGCGAGTGCTGAGCAGCCCCGGCGTGGTGGATTGCGTCCCCATCCTCAACCTCTCACGCCATCCCCCTCCCCAATCGAGCGGCTTTACGGCGTCCATAAAACAAACGTGATCCAAATCGGATCACGTGAAGTGGTAGCGGCATTTATAGCGCCACACGTTCGTCAAAGTGATGTAGTCCGAGTGACATCGATTTGAAGTCCACCGACCAAAGGTACTGCGGCTAAGACACCAGGTAACCATATTAAACTCAGCATTACGTGTCGTCAATACGGGGTCGTTGAAGGGTTACTGACGATCGTGTTCCAGTTCCACCCTGTGGAGGCAAGACTGGCCGCGTATAGGAGCCATGGAAGGAACACAGAACGCTTCATGCCCATAGAGGGCCTAATCCCAAACACGAGGAATATTTTTCCATCTAGCGTAAAACAAGACTTTGGCTTACCGTGGTTCAACGCCGTTGGTGTCGGACGGCTGCCTGCTCCCGTAGCCCGGGCCGACCGGGACGCCGAAGGCGTTAGGGGCCACCCCGCCTGCGGCACTGAACCCATTGAGGAGGTGGCCGGCCAGCTCGGCGAGGTCGCGCTCCTTCGACCAGGACATCACGGCCCCGGACCCGGGCCCGACCTCTCGTCGGGGACGTCGCTGGACGCGAGGGGACGCCCTCCCCGTCCGCGGTCCCGTCTGCGAGAGCACATCCCCCGGCTGCTGCAGACGGACGGCGCGCTCCCCGCACACCCGGAGGACAGCGAACGCCTCGCGACGGACAGGGTCACGATCACGATAATTTGCCACCAATTTCGAACAAAAAAAAAAGAAGTGTCAGGCCGTAGAGCGATGTTGCGTCCTGGGCGCTAGCGGCGAGTGCTCGCACGGATCTGTGTCCAGCGCCGTGAGAACTGTCGAAGCACGCGACTATTTGTCTCGGTAGAGGAGGGGGAAAGGTGGCCCCCGCCCACACCCCATTCACGGACAAAAACCCCCCCCAGCAGTTGCCCCCCCCCCCCCTGGTTCTCCTTTCCCTCGCTGTTTGCGCAGCCAATCTATTTAACCTTTCAATTTTTTGCACTAAAGGCGCATCACGGACATCACTTAAAAATATACAAATATCCACAAATATGCACTAAAAAGAATCCTCATTTGACCGTATAGTTAAATTGATTTCATGTAGAACAGCAAGAGTAAAGGAGCATGGGACAAATTATACCCTTTTTATGGGGGGGGGGCGCTCTATTCTTGCAATCCTGGCACTTTTTTGAAACTCGTGGATTTCTTTTTAGCACCATATTTTGTAACTCCGGCAGCACATAATTGTACCACAAAAATTCACAGTTTGAGCAAAAAGAAGATTTGGGAATGCGTTTCGGAAACCGCAGCACAACACAAATAATTTATAAGTGTAACCTACACCCAACCCCACCCGTAGGAGTGACTTAATTTGTGTACGGCCCAATTTATCGAGTGGTAGTGATAGTAGTAGTAGTAGTGGTGGCGGCAGTGTCGCACGGTTGTTTTTTCCATTGACACCGCGTTTGTTTACGAGAACAGTCCAAGCCCGCCCCGCGCCCTCTCCCAGCGACACGCGACTCGCGCCAATGGCCGTCGCCCCAGCGAGCGGGTAATCAGAAAAACACTCCACTTCCGAGCGAGTCCCTTTCCCGCCGTTTATTAAATTTTAATCTCGATGTTCGTTTCTCCTTGTTGATCATACTCTGAAAATCTAACAGTATAAAAACAACTTATTGACAATTTAAACTGCAAAACTAAAAGTCTTACAGTTTACACTGCGACACTGAAAAGTTCTACAGTGTAAACTGCAAGACTGTGTAGTTCAACAGTTTGAACTGTCATACTAGCACTAGTCCTATGGAGTTATGCAGTTTAAACTGTGGAACTGCACAGTTTTGCAGTACTGTAGAACTTTTTAGTTTCGCAGTTTAAACTGTAAGACTTTTAGTTTTGCAGTTTAAACTGTGAAACTTTTAATTTTGCAGTTTAAGCTGTCAAGTTGTTATACAGTTAGATTTGCAGAGTGGTTACAAAACGTTACACTGATAAACTAAACACTTGTAAGTGAGCAACTGCAAGTTGAATACTTGTAAGTGTGCAGCTCCGTAGTCGTACACTTGCAAGTGTTCAACTCGGTAGGTGTGCACACTTGCGAGTGCACACCTACCGAGTTAAATCACTTGCAGGTATTTAACTTACTGTTTCACACCTGCAAGTGTTGATCAGTTGCACACTTCGTTTATCAGTGAAAAAAAAAAAAGAAACAAAATACAAATTGAAATTGTATTAAACGTGCGGGGCGTGCGGGCGCAGCTACAGCAATAATCAATCCCTCGTCCGTCCCCAACGTGTCTGCTCGCCTGGCAACGCGACTCATTGGGCGGCGCCTGGCGCCTGGCGCCTCTGTAGTGAAACAATTTACAGCCGTAATGCGTCGGGCAGTAAGTTGCTCGTATCAATCAGCCCACCACCTTCTCGTGGCAATGAGCGGCGCGTGTATCCAGGCACGTGTTTGAGGACACGTGTCCGGGGGGAGCTGACGGCGGGGCGGGAAGTTCCGGACTTTCTTTAAAACAGCACTAAAGACGCGAAAATGACGCCGAACAGGACATAAATCGTCTCTGGAAAAGAGCCACACTTTTAATAACGCCAAAAACTTCCGCGCAGCGTGCGTCACGTTGCACATTTCCTGAGAGAGATTGAAAGGATGGAGGGAAAACCGGCAAATCGTAGCCATACACGAGGGGTCCTTTACTATAAATCGCTATAAATACGGATAAACACAAAAGTACACCGATTTCAATATTAAAATTCTAGTATATGATTGTTTTTTTCTTGATTTTTCCGTGACTTTTCCGAGTTTTTTCCCATTTTTTTTTGTTTTTTTTTTTTTTTTTTTTTTTTGAGGGTGTACACTTCTGATTTTGAGTGAAGTACCCCTCGGCCTGTGGTTAGGCGGGGGACGCTAGCGCCATCTCACCTGGCGACTCTCCTAGTGGAGAGCCAGCGGGCCAACCTCCTCGCCATACTTGCGGAGGAGCGCGGCGAGTGGGTGCGGTCGGGACGAGCCTCGGGACGAGCGTGCCGTTCCGCGGGAGACTAGAGCGAGGAGCTCCCTCGCCGCTCCTCGAGGGCGTGGATTTATTGAGCAGAGGGCATCGGCGGCTACGGACATCCTGTGATGAATCGACATGTGGACGTGTCACCGGAGGAGGAGTGTGCGGGCGGGCGGGGAGGGGGGGGGGCGTACACCCCTGTCACAACAGCAGCGCCCTTCCTATCGCTGTCATGGGTTATTCCGACCAGGTGTCTACAACACCAACCAGTAAACCAGCAATGGGTCACCAAACAACTCCCGAATGAGGCATTTATTTTCCGAATAAGATCAGGAAGAATATCGTCTCTGCTTCCGGACCATCACAAAACCTTAGCCAACCTTAGCCTCTCTTACGGCCGTGGCTCCAGAAAAGGCCTCGCCCTCCCTGACAGGTCGAGGCTCTGTGATTGTCCGAAAGCAGACGATATATTCCACGACCCTCAATCGAAAAAAAATGGCATTATCAATTTGACTGTTTAAGGGCAGAAAACCAATGAGAGTTCGACTTCGAGTCGATGCTTAACACATTATTGAGTACGATCACCACAGCAGCAGGCCGTGTGTTTTCTTACTGCAGCCGGATGGTTGACGCGATTGACTGGCGTCAATGGACTGATGTAATGGGCACTACTCGCAGCCCCGCTGCAACCCCGCTGGCACACTGTCACGATAAAGAGTCGCAATAATTGCGAGCTCATACATGTGTCAGCCGATACACCCAATTTGTACCACCGTCCGACCAAAAATAGATTATAGTGGCCCGATAAGAACGAGGAAGGCGACGCGAGGCTCGCGGCCAGCCGGACGTTACGATAATGATCAAAGAAGAACAAGAAGAAAGCAAACAGGAAACTCAACTAGGCCGACTAAGTCCTCAAACGTGAGAGGATGATCCTGAAGAGGCCTCACCGTTTCGTCAAATTCAAACGTTTTTATAACATCGCATTGGCTCTTTATTGGAGCTTTCGGTAATTACATTTATACAACTTATTAAAATGGATATAGTTTCAACACACATTCAACACAAATACTCACACTCGCTCAAACCCACATAAATACACTTATCTTTCTAAAAATATAAACGTAACAAACGTAACTGTAAGTACATATTTACAACAATAATGCAGACTTAATGGTTTTGATGGCAGAAAAAACATGACCCTCTGTATTCTTGGAAATTTTATAATTTTGATCGGTCACAGAACCAAACAGGGTGAAAAGGTCACAAAACGTAAGAAAGCTCATAGTGATGAGAATGCTGTTAAAACCCTCCGTTGAAATTTTGTACCCAATTAGACATGAGTTTACAATACACATACAAACAACTAAACACTATCTTACCGGCTTTTCATTCTCACTATTTATTTTTATTTTCACCATGAAAGAATATGACTTCATAGTATGACTCTTAAAAGTATTCACATGTTGAAGTAGTGAAAATTAAAGTTTGCGTTTGTTAAAAATTAATATGGCAGTAAGTTAAAAACAACTTCAATCTCGAAGCTTCGGTAAAACTATATTTGGTCGGAAACCAACTTCTACTTTCATGAAAGTCACCGCTCCCGCTGGTAAATTGTTCTCTAAAGGATTGCGGCTTATCTCAAAGAAAGAAAGGACTAGATAATTTCCTCTTACCCTGTGGAGGGGCGATAACAAAAATAACTTATGTTAAAAATGATTTTTTAAAAATTGTATGTACAATATTTTAACGATATTCTAGGCGACGCTATTCCCATCGAACAAATTCACAAATGGGTATATGGGAGCTTGCTTACACGTCCAGTCGGTCTTATCGTGAAGCTCGACTGGGCTATCACATGGTTTTTGATTCAGTCACCAACAACATACGGCCAGTCTGGGGCCGCGGGGCACGACTACCAACACCAGCACCACCATCCCCCTCACCACAAGCCGACTACTTCATACGAGGACACAGAAAACCAAGAGAGAGAGAGAGAGAGAGACATCTACACCGCCAAAACGGGTCACATAAGTAACACGAGCGCAAGGTTATTTGGGTAGCTCTAATAGACAGGTTAGCTGCGTCGGAAGGAGCCGAGCTTTTGGGGGGGTGGGATCCGAAGTGCGCCGCCACGTTAACAAACAAAACACCACCGTCCCGTCCACCCCACTAGTTAAGGTACCTGCCGGGCCAGGTCGGGTCGGGCCGCGCTCTATTTGACGCTGGAGAGGAAGCCGCGCGACTCGAGGCTGCCGTAGCTCGTGCTGTACGGCCCGATGAGCACGGCGCCCGCCTCCTTGCGGTGCCAGGTGCCGTGCCGGTTCTTGTACGAGTTGGTGGCGATGATGCCGTTCATGCCCGGCGGCCGCTCGATGGCGCACGGGTTGGCGTGGCCGTTGGACGAGCCGTTGGCCGCCAGGTAGCCGTTGGAGGTCGGGCCGTGGTCCGACGACAGCGTGTAGCTCAGCTGCTTCAGGTCCTCCTCGTTCACCACCTCCTTGTACTGGGCGCGCCGCCGCGACAGGCACAGGAAGATGAACACCATCACGCACTGCAAGCAGGAGAGGCGAATGTGAGACGCAATCATATGGACCAGAGTGCCAAACTAACTGTACACTAATAACAAAAATAAATGCATTACACAAATATATTTCAACACAAAAAAAGAGAAAAGTGCAAAAATAAAACAAAGGTTCCCGATAAACACGTCCCCTGCGGCATGACCATTATGTGGTCACGCCCCCATGTTAAATCATAGACATCAAAAATGAGCGGCAGGGAACGTGTTCATCGAAAGCTCAACCCTTCAGCACGGTATGCCATCACAAGACTTTGAGGCGGAAAAGGCTCGGCAAAATCGGACGCTATTATCTTTCTTTAGTAGGCTTGGGGCTTGGGATCATTCAGAAAGTACGCCCTTCATTCGTCGCACGAAACTGCCAAGTTTAACCAAGGAAAGTTCTCATAGCGCCTGGTAGGTAGGCAACATCGTGCCTTCAGCGCATGCATGAACTGCAGGGTGGCCTACCCAGAGTCTCACAGGCGCTTAGCCCTCATAATTATTTATCGAATAAATCTTTATAGAAAAAATAGACGCACTTTCTAGACGATCCACTATTCGGTCATCCGGCTGCCTCCTCCGCCAGCCACCCTAGAATACCCTAGAAGAGAACCCGAGCTGACCGGGCGAGCAAACACCTTCCATTCTCCACATTATCGCACTAAACTCTGTTATCACGATCGTGATCTCCTCCTGCTTGTTTGGAACGCTCTGCTCGCTGTGTGTCGATCGCTTTGTCCGAATGGACTCTTGACCAAAGTCAAAGTTTATCAACGCAGTCGTGTATATGAGGGGGAGAGAGACGTCTGCCTAGTAGGTTAGTACGCAGTGAAGACTGGCTTCTGGAACCTGGCAATAAGTTCGACGTGCAGACTTTACCAGAAAACAAAGCAATGAAATGCAGCTGAACGGCGTCAGATTTCAATACGGTTTACTTGCCAATTCGATCAGTTATAATATATGTGCTGATAAAAATTAGGCTGGCGCTAAACGGAAGTGGTAGTCTTATCTGAGAATATAATCGGCCACCGTACCACACCACAACTATGACCGGTGCAAAAGCAGGGTACTCGAACCCAGCGTTCCGCGATGCTCACCACGACAGCGTTGAGTCCCACGACGAACATGGAGCCTTTCCTGAAGCCGACCCAGTCCAAGAGGATGCCGCCAACGGTCGGGCCGATGAAGGCGCCGAGCGCGAAGGTTGACGTCCACAGGCCAGAGATGAGGCCGTACGTCTCGAGGTTGTTGGGGAACCCGTGCGCGCTGTGAATGTTAAGAGAAATAAAAAGAGGGCGTTTAAGTTAATTGCGAGGGGAAACAAATTGACACACTTTAAAGATTTACACTTACATGGAGGTCCGTAAGGCGTCGGTGAAGGAGGCGACAAGCTGGGCAGCGATGCCAAGGCCGTGCAGAACGAGACCGATGATGCTCATGGACAGCACACTGCAAAAAGAAGACAAGATAAAAAATTAGATTCGAAATTGAAAATTTTAGTCAGTAAAAAAGGATGAAAGTTTTAGGAATTTAAAAGCCAGAAAATCCGGGAAAAACATGAAAAAATATCAGAAATAACGAAAATTTTGCATTAAGTCCCTAATTTTCCTCTTTTTGTCAAAATTTTCACGCAAAAAGTCCAGGAAAAAGGTTTGTTTTTTTGGCAAACTTGAAGGTTAGCGGAAAATTTAAATCACTAGATTGTCTGTCGACTCACGTGTCGGAGGGGATGAACGGCGCGGGCCCGACCAGCGAGAAGCCCACGATGATGAGCAGGCAGCCCATGACGGTCGCCATCTTGGGCGCGATGACGCGGTCGCAGAGCATGCCCCAGCAGGGCGCCGTCAGCGCGTAGGTGCCGCCGTTGATGACGAACATGAGGCCGAGCACGACGGGCGTCAGGTGGAAGGCGCGGAGGTGGGGCTCCAGGGTGGCCGACAGGAAGCCGATGCTCATCGAGGTGACGATGATGGAGGCGGCCGCCAGCAGCACGCCGGGGATCTTGAGCACCTGCAGCAGGCTGGCGCCCTGCGACGGCTCGCTCTCGTGCTGCCCGTGGTCCGGCAGCACGAAGGCCGTCATGATGGCCGACAGGAACAGCGCAGAGCCGAGGACGGCGAAGGGAGTCATGTAGCCGCCGACCTTTGGGGGTGAAATTAAAAACGTTCAAAATGGGAAAGGGATTTGCGGTGGTTCGATTGTACGTGTACACAGCAGCCGCTCCTCCCCTCCTCTTCCTTATCGCCCTTTGTTGGGCATTACCTGGTATAGAGCACCGCCCACCGTTGGCCCGACGATCAGGCCCAGCCCGAAGAACGTCTCGAGCGATGCCTGAAAACAGACGCAAAACAATTTAAGTTAGAGAACGCCTGCGAGGTAGGCAGCCCAGTGCACGCCTGCGGGGCACCTTGCCGCCCCTGCCAGGCGCCTGAGGCCTGTTGTTGTACACACTAAACCCTTATGCATTTTGCTGTGCATAAACTTGCAGAATTTTACACAGCCATAAGTATGCACAAATTTGTATCCATATTTGTGTACAAAATGTGCAGAATTTTTCACACACTACACTGTACATAGATATGCATAAAATTGTGCATAATATTATGGCTGTATGAAATTCTGCAAGTTTTATGCTCAACAAAGTGCATAAGGATTTAGTGTGTAGGCCAGCGCGATGCGACAGACCGCCAAAGTGCAAACCAGAATCGCAACACTGTGGGGTAGGTAGCTCAGTGCACGCCTGCGGTGCGGAGCACCTGGCCCCCTGCCAGGCGCCTGCGACCTGTGGGGTAGGCAGCCCCATGCACGCCTGAGGAGCACCTGGCCTACCGCGCCCGGCGCTCGCCGGCGCGCGCGCTGCAGGCGGGCGGCAGTGCGCCGGGCGGCAGGAGGCGTGGAGCCAACAGCGCGAGCACTTTACTCTGTCTCTACGTAATTGACGGGTCTCAGGAAGTTTTCGTCACGTCACTTCTGCATGCTCGGTGGGGACTCTGACTTACGAAGGTGGTGGCGACGTTGTCTGGAAACTCTTTCGCAATGATGGCGAAAGAAGCGGTGAGGAAGGCGGCATTGCCCATGGCCTCGATGATCCGGATGAGGAACGACAGAACGATGAAGGGGTAGTGCCCGTTCACCTTGTCCAGCATCCTGCAAACGTGAATTAAATCAGGTTAAGTAAACCACAAGTAAGAAATCTACTTTGACTGGTGTACGGTGTACGTATAGAATCTTACCCAAACAAAATAGCACAGACACCGGTTGTGAAAATTCCCCCGTTGAAAAGGAATTTAGGTCCTATTCTGTTTAGCTGGAAATAGATAAGATGAAAATACGTAAGACAGCGGTCATTTGATGTGACGTATGCATGTGTTTGTGTGTTTAAACTCACGTGCTGTCCATAAATAGGGCTGATGATGAAAACAACCAGTTCGAACACTCCGAAAACGAGTCCATATTCTGAGGGTGTCGCACCATGGGCCTCGGCCTAGGGAGGAGGGAAAAAACACATCGGCAAATGTAATAATAAACACGACGCTCTTTGCATTCTCGGGGCAGCAGCGCTTTGGGGAAGAATTATTACTATATTATCAGTATGTCGTCTCGACAGCAGATCGCTTTGAAATTGCAAAATAACACGCGACGAAAAGAGGCGAGAGAAGAAAACATAAGGGAATTCCACTCATCGGCAGCTGCAACAGCAGGCGCCAGTGGTGCGTCTGCCGTCATACCCCACCCCGCCCC